ACGAGATTTCGTGGCCCGAACCCGAAGATAGACGGATGTTGTTGCTCAAAACGTAGCACATGACGTTCATCTGACATGAAAAGGTTCTTTTGACGATAGAAGGCCTTTTAGTAGTGTACGCTAGGGCTTCGCACCGTACCGTATACGGTATACGGCCGTATAGCCACGGTACAGTGACGGGCGACGGCTGATCCGTAACCGTACCGTCAATGCTCTTAGAACTAGGTTGACGGTACGGTACGGGTATATAGACGGCCGTGCCGGTCGTCAATACGGCCGTTGAATAATACATACCTGATATTTGGGGCTTCGGAGCAGCTCCAGGTCCTGCCATGGGCACGTCGTCATCTGCATCGTGATAAAAATTGAATTTCGAGGGGGATTTCAAGTTTCCATTGGCATCGAGGGCACACTGATCTGTCATGATGCTCAGAATGTGGTTGTAAGTCTGCGAAAAAAGGACCATTATATACTCTTTCGTGAACTCCTCTGGCTTAAAATTCAGCAGTATTTGACAGGTGCAGAGGCCAGCGGGGGGCAAATTATTCCGCAATATGTGTGGGTAGTCAAACTCAAAGGATGAAACAGTAGTAGAATAGAGGCAGCAGAAGCAGGAAATAGAAAGTATTCTATGCTGGTAAGGGTTAGAGCTTGAGTAGAGCGAGTGAAAGAAGATCAGGTGGTAGCGCTGAAGAGCTTGCGGTGCCAGCACATCGTGGTACGATGTTAAGTGTATGGCAAACACGCGTACAGTGTGATCTGATGACGGTTATTTTTAGATACATACACGGCCGTCGATTACCGTATGACGGCCGTGTTTATACGGTTGCTAACGGTATACGGGATGTCCGTATACCGTCCGTCTCTGGGCAAGTTATTTCGCCCGACGGAACGGGTACGGTACCCGTATGACGGCACCCGTATAACCGTACTATACGGTGACGGTGCGAAGCCCTAGTGTACGCTCCCACCTTGGCTCAGTGATGTCGTACACCGGGACTACGAAATGAGCACCAAATACTCACCACTAAGCGATAGTCACCTGAAGCACAGCGAAGATGCAAACCATACTTGAAAAGGGTCTCTTAGTATATCTGGCTCGAAAAGCTGACTCAGTCGGATGTGCAGACGGGGGTTGTGGGACTTAGCGGCGGCACGGCTCTTGAAGTAAATTCATCAGCTGGACTATGCTGACTGATACAGAGCCTAAAGGCGGGGGCCGACACTGTGTGATGGCTTCAATAAATCAGGCTTGAATATTGAAACTGAAAGATATTTATTTTTAGTCATTTTCTATTCTAAAATATAGAAGAATTAAATACAATATGTTTTTGATATTTCTGATTTTATCAAGATTTGAGGCAAATTTCACAAATATCGAAAAGATATTAGCAAATTCTTTTGCCTATTTTAGCCTCAAATATAAGTAAAATAAATATCTTTCAAATTCAATATTTGAGCCTCCATTATTTAAGCCATCATGCAGTGCGAGCCGTGAGAGTTTACTGATAACGATAACGAAAGTTCAATTACTGGGTTTCTGTGAGTCTTCAAGGGCCAGAGCGTGTCTGAATACGAATTTGTTTTGCCATTTTTCGCAACATAAAAAGGACGCATAGACGGAAAGCGGTAAAAATCGTCTTGTTCCCCGAACAAAGCAGCAAAACCAAGACTGATAAAGTGCTACTCCGACGGGAGCGGACATCAGTCTCGTCATGTCGCTCTCATCAGCGTTTTATCAACTGGACTTGTACGGTATCTTTCCTTGTATAGCAGACTGCTCCCGTGAAGACTGAAGGATAGCCGTTAGAATCTCAGGACTAGCTTCGCAGAAATGTCAGCACATATATATTGAGCATGTGCACACCTTAGGTACCTTCGAAACTGACACAAAAAGGTGTAAAACTGGATATTAGCAAGCGCCGACCAACGTAAAATAGGTGAAGGGATTCAATGCGCTTGGAACCCTGATATACACCAGGTGCCCTTTCCGTGCCTTCGAATCGCCCACCAGACGTTTCCAGCGTGCCTTGCTCTCGCATTGGTCTATAAATTTGTCTGCAGTAGAGATTATGGTAGTGTGCGGGACTGAAACGCAAAACATGTGACGAGCGAGTGCAGTAATGAGGTCGGAGACGTTCTGTTCTTCTTCAGGAAATCTGTCTGCAGCTTTCCGATTATTGAGTTGTTAACTATGTCATATCCAGCCACTGCGTAGAAGCTGATATCCCGGTCAGTGATGCGCTTAACGTAGCCAGCTGTGTGTTGTCAGGACTGGTTTGGTTTCATCCCAAGGAAATGCCATACCCCGACGCTCATCTTGTTCATGACAAGATTTCTTGTATCCAAGTCTCCATGCTATCCGTTGGCAAACTAAGTTGCAGAAATATGCATTAGAGCAGCTCGAATATTGCCTCAATGCCCTCTCAGGGGTTGTACACTAGAAGATATATATAGATAAGAGACGGGATACGCTAACAAAAGCGAACAAACCTCCAGATCCATACATTTCGTGACCTCTTGCGCCGCAAAATCCTCCCTTGCCTCACATCTAAGATCGGCTACTTCCTTCAGCCAATCCAAATATCCCACAGCAGGCCATTCTGGTCGAAATTATCTTCCAAGCCTGTCTCGGGTATGCGCCTGATAGACCTTCTAGAACTTCGCAAAACTGGGCGGTATATCAGATAAGAGTTAACCGAGTCGAGCACGTCTATGAGCGACATGTGCAAGATTGGCATCGTCTTCGCGTACAGCCGCGTCACTGTCCAGCAGTGGCTGGCATTTGAGGATTGATTCCAAAAGATGGTGATCCAAAGCTTCGACCGCCCATGAATATCCATCATGGAAAGCTTCTGCCAATACCTGGCAGCAACCCGAGACGCGATCCCTAACCATCAAATGCTGTAGTTCATCTATATCCACATGCCTTCGCCTTGACGTGACATGGGACATAAGACGGCAACATTATTTCACTGACTTGGCCCTAAGGAAAGACCGACGAGGAGCATCGCTTGATGAAGCACATAGCGCTATGATGCTGATGTGGCGCCTCAATGTGATGGACCGAACTGTAGGAATTTGAATGTCGACGACAATTCACCGCATATCATCAGGAGACTCTTCCAATGAGTCGCTAAATTCCAAGTGGATTTCTTCCGATTGACAGCAGACCATCACATCCACAACTTCCCAGCAAGACACGGCCATTGCATAATCGAGAGTCGAGTCAAAGTCAACCCATACGCGTGCCATACCATTTGATAAAGCCCGGAGAGGTACACATCACAGATACAAACTTGACAGAAACGCTGTCGACGAGTGACAAAAGGCTATTTTTGAACTGGTCGCGCAAACCCACGATCTCTGAGGGCAATACTGTATCGGCGGTGGCGTTCAGGAAATATGACGAGTAGAATATATGACAGATGTGGGACTACCGCCGCTATTTGGTCGACGATAACTTTCACGCCTCGATGTCTCTCGTTAGCGCTGGCCTGGATCGCGCGAAAACACTCCTTGGCAATGATCAAGGAGTGATGCCGCACAATAGCATCCGTATCCATGGAAGACGTGTCGAGAGTGCGGATATTGTAGCAAAACACGGAGAGCAGCTGAGGAAGTGTAGAGTCGTCGGCCTTAACCATTTCTACAAGTTTATCCAGAGCGTAGTGAGATCCGCGCATAGCAGCTGGCTGATAATCCGGTAATCAAAAATATTATTGGCATCGACAACAGAAACGAAATACCTTGAGCGAATTCATGCTCATGTTCCCAGATATAATCAGCTCTTGAGGGTGAGCGGGTATTTAAGAATGCACGGTTGCAGAGGAATCAATCGAAAAAGAAGTCGTGGTATTGGTATTGGTGTTGGTACCGGCACAAGGTCCCAATCAGGAACGGCCGGGTCCACAGCCTTGACATGGCAGGCCATGCGCCGCGGCCATGAAGGCTCGTACCGTTTTGACGTGGTACAGGTTCAAAGGTAAAATTTGAAATACCAAATTACGGAAAAGGAAAGTGACGGTCAGGTGATACTCCGTTTCGCGCGCCTAAGTTCAAATTCCGGCCGATTGTTTCTCATCCTCAATCCATGACCGTTACGGCCGGTCCACCTCTCCCTTCTCAGGAAATATGATGACTTCGTCTTCGTCGCATTATGTGACCACCAGTGGGCTTGCGCTAAAGCTTGGCAGTTCGCTCTGCTTGGATGTGGTAGGGATACGAAGCTAGCCTTCTGTTCTATTCGCTCACCTCGTTTTCAGATCGCTCAAATTCAAAATTTGACGGTAAGTATTGTTTTTACCGTTTTCAGTTCTATCCTAATTTCTTTATGCTCAGGTGAGTAGCAAGGGTACTTTCCGTGCTTTTAAATTCGAGGCTTGACATTTCGGTCTATCTGGAAACCTCCAGAATTGCGCTCGTCACCAGACACACCACGAAATGGACGAGACAGGATACTCTCCCTCGAGGTGATAAGAAACTTCTATCTGATCATCCACGAGATGCATGCGAGAAGATACAAAACAAACCATGGGTCCTCTCTTCTATATGAACGGCGTATTGGGATCACACTATTTCTCCATCCTAATATCTCCTGAGGTTCTATCCAAGTTTATCACTTGCGTCTCGGAGTATCGTTGTTCTCGTGGGTACTACCAGCGTCTATCCTTCACCGTTCATTCTTGTCCCGTCTCCGGCACGCTCTGGCACACTGTCTTCGAGTTAGCACATAAAAGACACCAAGATATACAAATGCTATTTTTGACCACTTCTGATGGCGCTTAATCCTTAGTCATGCACTATAAGCAGGTCAGATGGACACCCCTTCGCGACCTTCTCCTAGCGCCTTTTTCATGTTCTGAACCAGCGCCTACGGCGCCGTGACCATCCGTATCTCGGCTATCTACAGGTACAAAAGGAGGCGTCTTCAATCAGATTGGACGTGGGACTGCATTCCTAACACCCATCTATCTCTATACTAGACAGGTTCTCTACCTATGGAGATCCCAGCTCGTATGATCAATGCGCCAGAGCTGAAGTATGGACCGGGATCTAAGCAAGCAACTGTTGTGAGTACTCGATTTTGGAGGGAAACATAAACATTCTCGCTAAACTGTCACTTATCAGCAGCCGAGGGATGGTGCTTGGACTCTGTAAGTATTGATCCCGCTGAGTCGTCGTTCCGTAGACAGTCTGACGCCGCTTAGGGTTGACAAGAAGTTTTCCAAGCCCATGTCACTTGGGACTTGGATTGTTGTAATATTCATGCCCCAGAACAGCTTTAGTCCAGATGACGCAAAGCGGACAATAACCGGTCTCGTTCAAGGGTGTGAAGCTGTCGGTGAGTTTCTCCCCCCACCTTCGAAATGCCTGCGGGTTCTGAATAGTCCTCCCAGGCATGCCAGTTCCAGAAAAACAACCGTTATTTGTCTATAAGAATCCCCAGAGTGACGTAGATCAGGTTTGTGGGCATCGATTGGACTCATGACGCAACTCTAAATTATACTGGTTTCTGATAGTCTCTCTCGGATGCAGTGATGCAAAACAGATCTGAGCGCAAGACGACACCAACGTTCATTGTGTGTATCCTCCCTGATGGGAGCGACACGGATTTGTATACGGCAGTCAAACAGTAAGTACAACGGTTATCACTTCCAGGCCTAAGAGCATTACCGACGAATTACCATCTTTAGCTGCGGTGACATAAGGGTCTGTGGACCATAGCATTTCCTCGCCTATTATTCTTCCTCACCGTGATTGTTTACAGAGAGGTGTCGCTAATCAATGTCTCCACGTCGGTAAATGTAGGAATGCCCGACCACAATACTGGGCCAATGTTGCACTGAAGTAAGTTATGATTGTCTTTAATAGTGGAACATGAGGAGACTGAGCGAACCTCGTCCAGGATTAATGCCAAGTTAGGCGGTGTCAATGACATCCCAGACCCAAAGTTAGCGCCGATCATCTCCGATCCTAGGCAGCCGACAATTGTCATGGGTAAGCCAGTCTCAAGGTACTTCGTAGCATAGCTGATGGTGCATACAGGCGCAGACGTATGGGCATAATAGCGTGCAAAAATTCACGTAGGTGCAAGTCGCGTTTTTCCGGTCGCAAGTTGGTTATTAGCCCCCAAGTTTGATTGTATCCTTCCGCAAGTTAGTATTTTTTTTTTCGCAAGTTTGCTGTTAGCTATAGCTTCAGAATAAGTATGCCTAGGCTGAAATATACAAATATCTGTCCAGCTGTCAGGGTACCCGACATTGGTTATGAACCATAGCAACGTCAACATTCCGGGAAGGAATACGGTACCTACAGTCCTATGAAGTGGTGGGCCGTCGCGGGGCACGGCATGTCCTCGTCCTGTGTTAATGAGGGGTGAGACGGAAAGTGCTTGATGTATATTTCAAATAGGATATTGAATAATCGCCAAGAAGGACCTCCCACCTGTAAACGACACATGCATAATCGAAATAGACACTTATAAAACCCACAGAAGAGACAACTACATATTTCTTCAGCAGCACGTCCGACTAACCGGGCTGGGGTGCGACGCGTTCAAGGAGACGACAGATACCATTCTGGAAGCACAACTCATCTTCGAGAGGCAATTACAAGCAGGTGTATTCGAGAAGTGGACGCCCGATAACACAGACGACTTTCTAGGCATAGACATTAGTAACCGTTATCTCGAAAACAGGAAGTCATATCCTCAAGAGGAAGCTGCTTTTGAAAAAGGGGTCGATCCTCGAGATATCCTAGCGACAGCATGCAGCAAGAGGAATCTGATCCATACTGAAGACAACAAGGTCAGATTTTACACGAGCGCAATAGACGAAGGAGAGAGAAAATGAGCATTTAATCCCTGCTACACTGTGCGACAAAGCTAACCTTTATCTGACAGATTTGAAGCCGCAGAGCCGCAGATTTTCAGACCAGGCAACATCGTCGAAGGACAACTTTCCATCATCGTGGTCGTCATGAAGAATGGTCAAAAGAAGATGAAATTAAAGCTGAGATCAGTTGCGCTCTTAGACGAAGGCTTTACAAAGGTGAGAGTATGTAGCCGCATAATTAAAACGCTAACTGACAAAGTGGAGCAGGAGCGAGAGAGAGCATTGCACAATCAGAGTTTGAAGGAAAAGACGGAGGAGAGAAGCCGGAAGAACGAGAAAGAATCGCAGTCTAACAGGTGCTTGAAGCAAGAAGTCGGTTACTTAGCAAAGAATGTCCGCCGTTAGTAGAACGCTTAAAACATTTCGGCATTGATCAGAAAAGAGAAGTCGATAAGACAACAAAGGACGAAGAGTTGTTGCTCTTTCATAAAGCCTACAAAACCGAAAGAAGCCGAAATAACCGACAGGTTGAGGATGACGTGTTACACGGGGAAACCTCGGACTTAATGTAATCGCACAGCCACCGAAAGCTCAGGACAGCATAAGAACGAGACCTGTATACACAGGACTCGGAACACTGTTCAGCCGGCCATGTCGTGAACTCCTTGAACCCTCTGAAATGTCGTTCTCAGTGAGCCCCACTGAGCTCAATCTATCGCTGTCTGGCAGTATTCCGAGCATTCAAATCTATAGGGGAGTGAATCCGAGTGATGAGTCAGTGGACTGTCTAGACTGAGAGGCTTTGAATCCAGAGATCAAACACGGAAGGGAAATGTATCTGAATCCATCACTTGAAAAAGCGATGGAGAAGTAGGTAAAGCAGATGAATAGGACGCTGAAGGAATTCGGGCCATTACAGCAATAGCGGAACTACTGGTGTCAAGCACCGAAATAATGTCGGCCGGTTCAGCTACCTCGTCCCGCTCTAAACTCACGCCGCCAGATCTTATTCAGAGATCTATGATAACAACTGATGCCGATGTGTATATCACTTTTAGGAAAACACTTGACTTGCGGGAGGAAGTGAACTTGCACACTCAAAAGTAACTTGCAACTGGAAAAAGATAACTTGCATTTATCCGATTTTTTGCACGCTATTACGCCCATACAGACGTCATGCATCCGGCCCCAGGAAGCCAATCACCCTCGTACGCTGCAGTGGTGGCGAACGTTGATTCTGATGGTGTGCGATATATAGCCAAGACCACGCTTCAGTTAGGGAGGCAGGAGATGATTGGCGATTTGCGTTCGATGGCTAAGGTTTGGTCAAACCTTTATGCTAGCTATTCATATGCGACTCACGGGACAACAGGATCTTCTTTTAGCCTATATGGGTTATCGAAGTAGTACAGAGAAGGTCTCGACGCTGCCAAAGCGACTGATATTCTTCCGGGGTAGGTTGCTGAGTGGTCGTTGCTCTTGATAATGCTGACCTGCATCTGTAGATGGTTTGTCTGAAGGTGAGTTCAATCGCGTTCGAGATTTAGGTACGTTGCCAATGTGTCTGTACTTCCGTCTGTGCATTTTTGCTGACATCCTTCCTCCCTTAGAGCTTCCTCTGCTCCGTGGTACCAACCCTTATCTTCGTCATATCTTTTCATTCTGACTATCCTAGATGCCTGTATTGATGCGAATCTAAATCCACCTCCGAAAATTACATTCATCATCGTCGGGAAGCGTCATCATATGAGGCTTCTCGTTTTGTATATCTACTGTGCCATCAATTGCTGATTTCTCTCTCTACCAGGGGGCCAGGAGAATTTTGCGAGCGACACTTGCGAGCTGGCGTTCAACTGCATTCATTTGCGTTGAACTCGAGTTGAACTGCATTCGCTTGCGTTTAACTTGCATGCATTTGCACGCATATGGATACCTTTGTTTGTGTTGAATACAAATACTTAATTCTGTTTTAAAGACACTAGTAAAGTGTGTCTTATCGTGAACATTTACTTACTGTTTCCGAGTTCCTGGATGTGTCCCATCAAGTCAGTGTCGCTTATTATGATTCAGGAAAGCTGTTGAATGATATCCAAGTGCTATATAAGTATAATCAGTGGCTACAAAAAGAGATCCCTTCATCGCAGCGACATTTCACTTCGAAATGACTAAGAAATCTTACCTTTTTTTGAACTTGGCGGGATAAACATCTTCTCAAATGAACAAAACATGCTTACGCCTCTCACAAATACGTCATGCATGCATCCCAAAATATAACGCAAACCTTAAGAAGATGGACGCATGCGTTCTTGACAATAACGCATGCGGTTGGAAATTCAATGCATGCGAGCAGCAGCGGCTCGCAATTGGCTCGCAAATGTGACGGAGGTGTGACAACGTGTAACATTTGCGTTCGACTCGAGTTGAACCGTCTTAACTCTTGGTCACTTCTGATATTTCTGAGCTATCGGCTTCTTGTCACTACATCTGGGTTCGTTTGTTATTCCTATGATATCTCTGCTATTTAACTTGCCCCTCTCTGACCAACAGCCAATGTTTGGGTTCTCTTCTTCGGGCTGTCTTGAACTCCGTCCTGTGAGTCTGTCCGCACCGTACCTCAATTTCTTGGGATTATACTCTACATTGGGCCACTTCTGGAATGTATTATTTATTACTAGATATTTCGAGTTGAACAATTACTCTGGAACTCAATATTTTGGCTTTGAGGGGGGTATTGCCTCAAAAGAACCTTCAATATTCTAATCTTCCGGAAAGGGTATTATATTATCTTCATCGAGAAACACTGGCTAACTCCAACCACTATTTCCGGACAAGAAATTCCGAGAGTTATTTGTCACGCTCGCAAATGCAAACGCAAGTGTGACAACGCATGCGAGAGAACGCGAACGCACGCTCGCAAGTGTGCTCGCAAAATTCTACGTGCCCTCTACCAGGTTCTTCCCAAAGAATGACAAAGACAAGGACGCGAAAAGTGAGAACCTCCTTCTAGGGCTTCGCACCGTACCGTATACGGTGTACGGCCGTATACAGGATGGCCGTCAACCGTCGAAAAATTTGGCCTTGACGGTACGGTGACGGTGACGGCCGTCATTACCGTATGTGCCCTGACGGTTACCTATAGGAGAAGAAGACAGGGCTAAAGATAGTGGACATGGTAAGCTTTCATCATTATGTATCTACACGGCTCAAAAGACTCACTAATTTGTCCGTTTTCAGGTACCCGTATAGGACCCGTATGGTCCTAAATGATCTGAAACGTTTGACGGCACGGATACGGTACCCGTACGACGGCACCCGTACAACCGTACTATACGGTGACGGTGCGAAGCCCTACCTCCTTCCCGGTACCGTAATTGATCAGGCTATCACCAATCCGGTGGAATTCGACTTTTACCTTCAGAGCCATGGTGGATTTCTGGGTACCAGTAAAAGTTCACACTATAACGTATGTTAGCTTTCGATTACAATTATCCCTTGACTTATCAACCTAACATCTAGGTTGTTTACGATGTGAGTCGCTCACTTGGCATGTTCTATGTTGATGTTGACCACTGTTCATGCCTTACAGCAATCCGGGTTTGGGTAGGTCTTCCATTTCTTGACTGAGATCCACACCAGGCTCACACTCTGTACAGCGCGGACGCGATCCAATCGCCAGTTTATAGTCTTTGTTTCACTGATGCCAGTTCGACACGTTCAGTGTCCATCCCTACGCCCGTATATTGTGCGCCCGTTCTATCCTCTGCGATTTCCTTTGCTTATGTTTATGGCAGATGCCCACATTGTTTGCAATAGGGCAAAGACACATTACAACCCTCAGAGTTTACCGTCGTCAGTCATATCTGGGGGCGCGCAGATGCGGGAAGAGACACTGAATGCGAATCGAGGCCAGTACCACCCAGTGCGTGATGTTCAGTCAAAGAGGATGTCTTTCATGGTGAGCGATGCTTTCTCAATTTTGGCTACTAATAAGACTGAAGATGTCTTTCGTAGTGATCTTCCACCGTTGTTATTCCTTTCAGTTGTCACCTATCTTTCCGATTACTGAATACCACAGGCCTCTTGATGAGCCAGTATTTTCTTTCTGTCGCCGTCTTACTAAGTTGTACTTACGCCTCCGTCATCAGATGACATGTATTAAACTATGTATTTGTATGTTTTCCGCTCTATAAGTAGCATTCCAATGAGTGTTATATCTTCTGAGGTGGGCTGTGAGGTGCGTCTTGCACCTTACCTCTTATTCAAAGCATAAAATGGCGACTCTCATCCGCATGTCAGGATGCATAATAGCTTCATTTTTCTCCAAAGGGTTCAGTTCTAGCGGAAACAATGACGAATTCACTTCTGCACTACGGGTCGATACTGCTCTTATAATTTGACTAACTGCGAAGCTTCACCGCAAAAGCGCTGGAACCAATTCGCAATGGCTCGCGCGGACTCTTCCTTTGCCCATCCTATCGATCATCTCAGTCAGCCAGGGATACATCATAAAATTCCCATAAACGTACGAGTATCCCCAACATTAGGGTCGCCTCTCAAAGCGAATCCATGTTTCACTCCCGAAAAGACCTGAAAACAGTAACTGGCCTTGTTTTCAATCAGGATATCCTCAGCGCGTCGACGAGATTCCAGAGGGAAGGTATGATCAATTTCTGTTGGTGGCGATGAGTTGGAGCGATTTGGAAAACAACCAAAGAAGATGGTACGTGCCCGCGCATGATAGAAATAGAGGTTCTGAAACCAAGAGTATCAGTCTTGGAACATCAGAAAGATAGGAAGACGAGATTACTCTTGATATTCCTAAAGTGATCTTCAGTAAGGAATGCAGGATGCCCGATAGCACCTAGTACTCGATGTGTCAAGAAAGGATTCTCTACATAGAAGTATTGGCTTGATACGTACCAGCCACGATATCTCCGCTAGCTGCGAGATCCAAAACGAATGGAGCACCAAAGCAGTACCCCACGGCGGTGTACTGCGCATCTCGACCT